AGAAAGAGAGAAAAGAAAATAAAGAAATGGTTGGTTTAATCTGCAAAGTTCTAGACCAAACTGCAGCATGAAGAGCTGGGCTTTGAGCTGAGATGATTGAATGATAATTAGCTGGACTTAGCACTGTACGTGTATTAGATCCCTGTTAACCTCCTCAACCTAAGGTAAAAATTATTACAGTCTATCTGCATTTTGTGCACAAGGAAACTAAAGCCAAGAGCACACAACATATATTGCTGAGTTGGAAGTCAAGACTAGATACTTCTGCATCCCTGTGACCAAAGAACCAACAAGAAGAGGTTTACTTGGGCTCGTAGTTTCAGAGGGATTTCAGTCCATCATAGCAGGGAAGGCAGAGTGGAGTTCACACTCGCAGGAGCATGATCAGAGGCTCCTTATATCGCCACAGACAGGAAGCAGACCTCAGAGCCAGAACCAGAGGTAGATGTAACCATCAAAGGCCTGCCCCTAAGTAAACTACTTCTGACAGACAAGCCTCACTTCCTAGAGTCTCCACAGCTTTCAAAAGAGAGAATAAGTTAGGGGCAAGCATTCAAACATGAGCCAGTTACTGGAAAATGGAGCTTCTGAAGCGGCACTTTCAGCTTCCTACTTCCCCACCATGCTGCATGGACTAGAGTCTGAGGGGGTCTCTGGTCACTCCCAGGTGGTGTCTCCTCCTTCCTCTGTGGAATTGTCATCATCTGGTCAGCAAGGGCTGTTGCAGTCCTGTGAGATTGTCCACAGCAGTTGTGTGAGGAGCTGGCCACAGTGCTCCTGTTCTCTGGGACTCGCATTGGGTCCTAGAGATATGTGCCCACCTGCCATCATCAGTGCCTCCCAGGGCCAGAGACCCCCCCTCTTCATTTGTCCCTCTCAAAGGAGAAAAGTTCTGTCTGGGTGGAGGCAGAGGTGGCTTCAAAATGCCTCTAAGTGGCCCCTGCTCCCTGGCATTTGTACCCTAGGGTCATCTGATTCCCTGGCTTCCCAGCCAGTGTGTGAGAATCAGTGACTGGCTTCTGATAAATGGAATTCGGCCAAACTGCCATTTACAATTCTGTTACAAAAGCCAGTGGTGTCCACCTTGCTCTTGGTTCCCTGATTGCTCGCCCATTCCCTCTTTGCAAATCACCTGCTGTGGGGTAAGGCACCCGATGGAGTGGCCCCCAGGACAAGGCTCTACCAAATCACAATCACAAGGTTGATGCTTCCAGGCACTAGCCAGTGGGGAAGTGAGGCCCTTAGATCAGCCTCCTGGGAGGGACGGAAACTCTGCCAAACTTAACAGTGTGCTTGGAAAGGACATCTCCCCCAGCCCCCCCTGGGTGACCAGGTGTCTCTGCTAATACCTTGTTCTCAACCTTGCCAGATGTAGACACCAAGAGGGGCTGAATTTGCTTTAAGCCATTAGGTATGTGGGTAATTTGTTATTGAGTGATAAATAGCTAATGCATGCCCATCACTGCTAATTACGTTGATCCAAAAAAAAGAAAAAAAAAAATGGAGAATGACCTTAAAGGAGGCGGTGTGGACTGGAGTGTCTGTACAGATAATGGGGCCCTGTCTGCCTTCCTACAACAAAGCTGTATTTACCTCTATAACACGGTAGACCTGCTTTATTTATTGTGTCTTCCCCACTGAAAAGAAGCTATGTGAGTTGGAACTTTGGAAAAAAATCTTTTATATTTCCTTCTTTGCCCCAGGGTGTGGGGGAAAAACCTGTGCCCTGCACCCTGTATCGGCTCAGTGTTGACTGTTGAAGGATGTTCCTCTTCCTACCGTCCAAGCAGCCAGCTTGTAAGACTTCTGGGTTTTGTTTCCCAGCGTCTACCTTGGAAAGAACAGGTGAGAGAGATGGGGCCCCAACTCTCCCTAAGCTGGGCCAGGGGTTCGCCACTGCTGCACATCGCTACTGTTGAAGACTAGAAAGTGTTAGCTTTGACTTGAGCTTAAAGTCTTTGTTGTAATCACTCTATAATGTTTTTCTGTAAATGAGCAAAACTATTGGGAGCAGACCCATTCAGGCCTTTGAACAGAAGCAGAGACCCCTCTCTCATTCCTTGAAGCCTGGCCTGGGGACCGTCAGCTGAGCAGCTTCTCTGGCAAATGGCTGGGTGGTGCTGCTGACAAGAGTAGCTGCTTTGGAACTTGATGGTCACTCTGAGAACCCCAGCAGTGAGGACCACTGCAACTGAAGCCAGGGCACCTGCCCCAGAAGATCTTGTCCAATCAGGAGTGCTCCAGACACCCTGCACAAGCTTTGGAAGGCAGCACCCCAGGGCAAGCCCCAGCTAACCATTTATTTATTTATCATTAGTTTTGTTTTTTTGAGACTGGATTTTCCCTGGAGCCCCACCTGGCACTGAACTTGCTATATAGACCAGGCTGGCTTTGATCTCACAGAGATCCACCTGCTTCTGTCTCCCAAGTGCTGGGATTAAAGATGTGCATCACCATACCTGACCTCCAGTGAATTTAGGATGACCCCATTCTCCCTCAAGAGGAAGGGGAGCACCTCTTTAGTAACCTAGGGAGAAGCCAGTGTTTGAGGAGTGTGGGACTTGTGATTGGTCCTTACACAAGGCCTGTGATTGGTCTGTATGTGTGCACTAGCTGTGCAATAATGTGATCGGTCCCAACACTGTTAAGGTTCAGATAGCCCTGGCCCCTCACCAACAGGGTCTCATGGATCTCGCAAGCCCCTGAGAAAAGGGACCTGAGTTGATAAGCACCCAGGTCTTTGAAGTCAAGAAAAGCAGACTTTTCTCTGCTGTTTGGCCAACACAGCAGGCTTCCCCTTTGATCTCTAAAGAGGGCATGTTTTAACAGTCCTGCTCTCCAGCTTCCCCCTGCCTAACTTAAAAAAATATATATCTTCCTGCCTTCTGCAGCCCCCAGAAACCTCCCCCTATAAAAGACCCCAGCTCACAACCCGGGGCAGACATTTTCCCTGCCCAGAAAGGAATCTGTCTCATGTGTTCCTTTGCTAATAAACTCTATTCTGATAAGTCTTATCTGTGTCCTGGTGCTTGCTCCCGATCAATCGGATTCATCCATAGGCTACTTTATCTATCAAACACAACCCATCACTTGCATGCCACATACCCTCCCCATGTAATCAGGCTGTGCAGTTTACTTTTTGTGTCAGCTGGAGGGCACCCTCTGCGTTGCCCCCTGGTGCTGCAACAGTAGGTGCAATAGAAACATTTCCCCCGCACGGTCTTTTCTTGCCTATGTGAGGGCCGAGTTGGAACATGAGAGGAGGCCACCAAGGCAGCCAATGGAGAATTTCAGACGTGGAGAAGACAACAGAGATGGCACAAGCCAGGGAGGTATATAGAAACGGCTATGAGGAGCCAAGACCATGGGACTATGGCTCTGTCACTGGAAGAGCTCCAGGAAGCTTCAAAGTTCTAAGAGCCAAGAAGCCCGGCATCCAAGGCCCCAAATTAACACTGTAAGGGCTGAGGGTCCAACACCTGAGGCTTCAGTAGCCATGGCCACCTTTAGTCACCGAGGGTGCCGACAACTGAGGGTCCAGCAGCCATGGCCACTGTTAGTCACTGAGGGTCCTGACAGCTGAGGCTTTTCCAGAGAGATCTCACCAGTGTTAGAACTGAGACTGACTGGCCATCCCTGGGATGTGTATGCATCTATGAATCAGCAGCTGGGAGCAGGTGGGGTATGCTGAGGAGCAGGACCTAATTCTCATGAAAGAATTCATTTATCCATCTGTTCCTAACTTCAGTGATTAACTCAGCCTGCATCTATTGAGTTCCTACTGTATGTGAGGGCAGCTTTGGAATGCTAGAAACTAAAAGAGCCAAAGAGAGGCTTAGGCCAGGCGTGGTGGCACACACCTTTAGTCCCAGAGCTCAGGAGGCAGAGGCAGGCAGATCTCTGTGAGTTCAAGGAGTTCAAGGTCTCAAAAAAACCAAAAAAAAAAAAAAAAAAAGTCTCCCCAGAGCCTCCAGAAAGGGACACCATGCTGTTAACACCTCTGTTAACACCTCAATTTTCCCTCAGGAAGGACCACTCCACACTTCTGATCTCCAGATCTGTGAGAAGTGATTATCTAAGCCATTGGGTGTGCAGTGATTGGCACAGACGCCATTGGAAAGGGTCAACCTCTGTTGGGGCTACAGATCCCAGGTGCCAGCTCCTCAGAAGGTGAGCCTGCAAGTGAGAGAGCGAGCAAAGAAGAGCTGAGAGGCAGCTGGGTACAAGCTCTGATGGCCTTGCGTGAGCGCTGGTGTAACTGTGTCTAATATAAATTTCCCTGGCATTTAAGCAGGTCACATGCTGCCAGAGAGGTTGTGAATAATACAAGATGTTTTTCCCTGGGCAGTGCTGTACTAGCCGTACCAGGCCCCTGGCCCAGCTCCCTCAGTGCACTGTGGTCAGTGCTGCCCAGGCACTCTCTGTCTCTGCTCAGCAGATAACTCCAGGGAATCTGGTAGAGGAAGAGTCCGTTAGAGATGCAGGAGTTCCCTGTGGACTTCACAGGCTGAATTAAGGTTAAGTCAACACACTGGAGAGTCACCGAAAGCTCTGAACCCAGTTTAAAGAGCCAAAACCTGTTTGACTTCAAAACCCTGCCTTTTGGTCAGTATCTTTGCATAGATTTCTAAAACAAAGGTTCAGATGGGTTTGGTCACCATAGAGATAACTGTGGACATAAACAATTATGATAATGAAGCCACAGACTTGAGAACTGAGTGTTATAAATAGAACTGGGTGAGCCTTGTGTAGTGTGATGATGGAAAACACATTCTGCCCACACAAAAGGGTCTAATGTATGAAAAAGGACCTGTCCTGTGGGTGAAGAAAACCCCGTGACCACAGAGCCAGGATGCTGGTTGCTATATCAACCCTCCGACCAAAGGACTTCCGTTTTTCCAACAGGGCCCCAAGGCAGGTGTGGGGTTGGAGGGAGGGAGGATAAAGAACAAGCAAAGAAGGTAGATACCTGTCCAACCGCACTCCACAATCAGCGCCTCATTTAATTCTGATAAGTTCTGGACAAAACAGAACCAGGCACCATCTTTCTGAAGATAGGGAATCCGGAATTCAGAGGGATGATGGCAGCTACCAGGTACTGGTGGCGTCTCAGGTAGGACGTTGTGCCCAGGTCCCTTCCCCTCTTCCAGCTTGCAGAGCATGTACCCATCCACTGAAGGAGGAGGATCGCGAGTTCGAAGCCAGCCTGAGCCACACGGTGAGACCCTGTAGAAAGAAAAGAAAAAAGAAAAATATCTGAGTATAAAGCAGAACGTCCCAAAAGAGTTTTCCCAAAAGAGCCTCTAACGTGGAGACGGACCCCAAGGACTGAGAGTCACGGAGAGAAGTTGTTCCCGAGTGCTTACGGAGATAGACAAAGAGAGGGACGGGTAAGAGCGGAAAGGTCAGGCAGCGGAACCACTCTGCAGGGCTGCGGGGTTGTAGGGGGCGGTGTTGAGTGGCGGAAAATGCCCCAGGATTTCTGAAGCGGGCGGAAGCCGCGCAGCTAGGGTCCCAGAGAGCCGAAGGCATGGCCGAGGCATCTTCGGAGTCGGTAGCCGAGGCCGAGGCGCTGTCCGCGGCACGCGAGCGGAGCCGCCGCTTCCTCAGCGGCCTGGAGCTGGTGAAGCAGGGCGCCGAGGCGCGCGTCTTCCGAGGCCGCTTCCAGGGCCGCGCGGCGGTGGTGAAGTACCGCTTCCCCAAGGGCTACCGGCACCCGGCACTGGAGGCGCGGCTCGGCCGGCGGCGGACGGTGCAGGAGGCCCGCGCGCTGCTTCGCTGCCGCCGCGCGGGTGAGGCGGGGCCGGGAGGGACCGGGCGGGACGGGGCGCGGGAAGACGGGGACACAGGGCGGGAGGACATGGGACGGCGGCTCCTCCGTGGGAAAAGCCTTCCGTCATCTACGGATGCCTCGGGATTCCCGCGGTCTCGCAGGACTCGTTGCGCTGGGTTCGTGGCTCTGCCGCCTCTCTCAAGGTTGAACGTTTTTTAACCCCGGGGCCTCAGTTTCCCCACTTGTAAGGTTTCTGTGTGCCATCATTCTGGCTCCGGCCGGTAGTTTGACGACGCAGGTTTGTTGACAAGTGCTGGTTCTGCAGCCAGGTTCACTGGGCTCAGATTCTGACCCCGCTACTTCCTATGTGCCCTTTCAAGTCGTTTGGCCTCCTTGCCTCGGTTTCCTCGCCTGTAGGTCATAGAAGAGGTACCATTCGGATCTTGTGACCATGAGACAAGGTATATATGTCATATGTTGTGTTTGTATGCTGACACAGCATTCAGTAAACATCAAATTACATTAAATCGTTTACTTAAAAATCAAAAAGAATCAGGAATTAAGGTCAGCAATCAATAAGTGGGACCTCGTTAAAAAAAAAAAATCAAAAAGAAAAGCTGGGTGTGGTGGCGCATGCCTTTAAATCCCAGTACTGGGGAGGCAGAAGAAGGTGGATCTTTGCATTCAAGGCCACGCTGGTGTACTTAGTTCCAGGCCAGTTGGGGCTATAGGGAGACCCTTCCTCAAAAAAACCAAAAAAAAAAAAAAAAGAAAAGAAAAGAAAAGAAAAATACCAACTGTGTATCATCACCCAAAACCTTAGCCTCAAGAGAAACAGGCACAGAGAGGGATGTGCCCAAGGTTCCACAGCTAAAGAGTGGCCTATCTTTGTGCCTCAGAAGTGATGGCCTTTGTCTTCTCTTTAAGGAGTGTTTTCTGGGGTTTTTGCACCTACCATGCACCAGGGCGCCTGAGCACCAGGATGCTATTCAGTACTGGGAGATCTGGGGATATTCAGCCGTGAGCAAGCAAGCACTTTACTGTCCTTGCTAAATGGGGAGAGCATTCCCTAGAGGGTTCTTAGTCTCATTCATAAAAGAATTTAAGAATGGACCCAAAGGGAAGCTTTTACAATTTCATTAGAATTTCAAGGAAAAATCCTTAGGGCAGGCTAGCTGCCTTGAGGAGGAGAATGGAGGGGAGAAGGAAAGCAAGCCCTGAAGCCATACAGATTTAGAGCCTGCATGGAGGTCAAAGGCGTGGCTGCCACAGCCACATGGCCTGGAGAAGGGAGCTTTAGGGAAAAAGTAAAGAAATACAGGATGCTAGGGCAGCGCAAAGCCTTAAAGAAAGCATGTTTAGAAAAGAGATATGAAGAAAAAGAAGAAGAAGAAAAGGAGAGATTACACTTTTCTGAAGAATTCAGAAAGGTGGGCCGACTTACAGACACCTGCATGTTGCTGGGTTGAGAAGAGAAGTTCTACACTGAGAGGTGGGATTCCAGGCCAGTAAAGTTCAATATCTTATTAACTCACCAGGTATTCTGCCCCTCTGTTTAGCATAACTTGAGATGGCCCTGCCTTTCTAGGGGTGGTCCTGTGACTAGGTGATTGACCAGTGAAATTGGAAAGGTGAGTCTTCCAACAGACTAGAGATTATATAGTCTTGACCTGTTAAATTTGTGGGGCTATTGGCTACTCTAGCGTGCAGAGTTAATGAACTTATTTGTGTGTTCCTGTTTTGTGTTTCACCTCTCCTGAGTTTCATCAAACAGGGATGGTGGTCACCTTGTTTACTGCTGGGTCCCCATTGTCATAAAGGGTGTCTTGAGAATGAAGGTGCAAGCTTTGATGCCTCCAAACTAGCCCTGGGTGGTCTCAGGCCATAGTCCTGCAGGGCTTGAGCTGGGAAACTTCCAGATGAGTTGTAGCATTTTCCACAGCATTCTGAAACCTTTTTCCAAAGTAAGTAGATTCAGATGGAAAAACTGGCTCAGCCTTTGGAAATGAAGCCTTCCATCATAAAGCATCAACTCACTAACCACTTACGTGTTGTTCGCAGGGATTTGCGCCCCAGCTGTCTTTTTTGTGGACTATGCCTCTAACTGCTTGTATATGGAAGAAATCGAAGACTCGGTGACTGTTCGAGATTACATTCAGTCCACCATGGAGACAGACAAGAACCCCCAGAGCCTCCTGGGCTTGGCTGAGAGAGTCGGGCAGGTTCTGGCAAGAATGCATGACCAGGACCTGGTTCACGGTGACCTCACCACCTCCAACATGCTCCTGAAACCGCCCCTGGCGCAGCTGAGCATCGTGCTCATAGACTTCGGGCTGAGCTTCATTTCGGGACTGCCTGAAGATAAAGGAGTGGACCTCTACGTCCTGGAGAAGGCCTTCCTCAGCACGCACCCCAACACCGAGGCCGTGTTTGAAGCCTTTCTGAAGAGCTACTCCACCTCGTCCAGAAAGCCTGGCCCTGTGCTGAAGAAGTTAGATGAAGTACGCCTGAGAGGAAGAAAGAGGTCCATGGTTGGGTAGAAGAGTGGGTGTGACTGGTTTTCAACATGAAGACATGCTGTGAGCAAGGTTAGACCTCAGTAAAGCTGTGGGGATTGTTAAGTGTCTGTGATCAGGCTCTGTCACCATCCACAGTTCATTGTTCTGAGGAGTTTACCACATCTATAAGGCCTGGTCTAGGCACAACTGGGTTTGTAGCCCAGACTGGCCTTGAATTCATGACAATCCTCCTGCCTCAGCCTGCCAAGTACTGGGGTTGGAGGTGTGAGTGGCCACACTTGGCTTTCTACTGGTTCTATAAGAAATGAGACATTAGGGTGCTAGAGAGATGGCCCAGTGGTTCAGAGCACTAGCACTGGCTGGTCTTATAGAGGACCCAGGTTTGGTTCCCAGCACCCACTTAGCAGCTAACAACCATCTATTACAACCTCCAGTTCCAGTGGACCCAGTGCCCTCTTCTGGCTTCCTCAGGCATTGCACAACATGGGTACACTCACACACATGCAGGCAAAACACACTGAAAATAAATTTTTTAAAAGAAATGAGACATTGGCCATGACAATCTTTATTTTGTGTGTATGCAAGTATGTGTGTGGATGTCAGAGAATATATTTCAGGAGTCAGTTCTTTCTACCATGTAGATTCTTGGGATTTGAATTCAGGCCCTCAGGTTTGGCTGCAAAAGCCAGGGAACAGCTCAGGGCCAGTTGGCCTCAGCAGCTCCTGGTATGCATGTAGTTGGAATTCTGTATCCTCTGTCCAGGTCCTTTTCCACTTCCCAGCAGTGATGCTCACTCGGATTACCAATGCCTGGGAACAACCTGCACCCCTTCCTGGGATGGAGCCTTGGGAACCCTGTTTCTAGCCTGGCCCCTCCATATGACCTTGATGATCTTGCAGATACTCAGCAAATGGGCTCTTGCCTTATAGGAAAGAGTTGACTTGTGAGGGGCTCTGGGACCCTGAGAGCTGCTCAGCTTCGGCCCCTCACTTGCTGCCAGTTGGGTGACTTTGGCTGGCTTCAAGCTCCTCAGTTTTCCTCTGTACCATGTGGAGAACTATGGCGCCTAAATGAATCCACATACAGGCCACAGTAGATGAGGAGTGGTTGTTAAACACCTAGAAAGTTGCTGGTGGTATGTGTACTTGATCATTTTTGTACAAATCAACTGCCCTCTTAACCTTCCCCTGTCTAAACTGCCCAAAGTGAAATAACCCAAAAATGAGCATCGTGGGGCTGGAGAGTTAGCTCAATGGTTAAGAGCACTGACTGCTCTGGCAGAGGACACGGGTTCAATCCCCTGCAGCCACATGGTGGCTAGTAACCAAAACTCCAGCTCTAGGGGAATCTGATGCTCTCTTCTGACCTTTGTGGGCTTTGCACGACATGGGTGTACTTACATGCAGGCAATATAGTCATACACATAAAAATTTTTTAAAAAGATGGGCCTGGTGGTACACACCTGTAATCCCAGCAAAGTTCAAGGTCGAGAGGGTGGGTTTCCACCTCCATCGGTGTAGCGGCTCTGATCTCAGCAGAGTGCCGAGTTCTGGCCTCTCTGTCAGGTGCTGAGAAGGCAGAGGATTGCCTGAGAAACCCCAGATCCTGCCTCCACATGGTGGGTCCTTTTAATAAGATGATGCTATACAGCAGTCCCTTCTACATGAAATAACTACCATCATTACAACTTTAGCTGAGCCTGATCACTAAACATCATCACAATTGGGCTTGTTAACAGTTGTGCTCATTCATTAAAGGAGGGCCAAGCAGGGTCATTGGACCCTCACTGCATTATCCAGCCACTCTTCCCAGCCAACTGTATGTAATTTGACCCTAAT